AGAAGGCCTGGACTAGGAGAATCATTTCCTGCTCCACTACTCACCAGCCAGGTGACCCTGGGCAAGTCAATTAATCTCCTAGAGATTCAGTTTCCCTGTAAGTTAACTATTTATTTCATATATTCATGAAGATCAAATAAGATAGCATTTAGAAATTGTAAGGTACAATGCGAATGTAGGATATTATTGACCTGAAAACACATACGCAGGAACTAATCATGAGCTATTTCTGCCCAATAATGTACACCATGTAATGGGACAGTCTTTCTTAGGAAAGGTTACTCATTGCTGTTCCTAATATTTTCAGGGAGCCAGATCACAGATCAGTCATGTTTAAATTCCAGCCTCTTCACTTCCAAGCTGTATGACTCTGGGCGGTACTAACATCACCGAGCCTCTCACCTGTAAGAGTAGTGACTTCTCATTAAGCTATAGAGTATGTAGATCTCATAAGGCTGTTGTAAAAGTTAAATGAGATAATTCAGGTAAAGTGCTCCTATCCTCATGCCTAGCATATGGCACGTATTCAATTAATATTTGGTATTCAATAGAACCACACGCCTACGTCTCTATTTTCTTGTAACTTCTCAGATATATGTATAACTCTCTTATAATCCTAAAGATAGTATACTTTCTAAAGCAAGAATAGTTCTTTTTATCAAAGTACCCAGAACACTTTGAGATAGGTATGTATAAGGGAAACTCATTCAAATAAGGAAAATAAAGGAATAATCCTATTGTATTCTTAACTTAAAAAAAAAAAAATCTCTCTTCATCTAAAAGTACTTCATATCTTAGTCCCTAACACATTCTACTTTCCAGAAATCTTACAAGTGAATTATTTAAAGCTAATTATTAGGAGGCAGTGCTAACAAGGAATTTTCCTGGGCCTGTTGATAGCTTCCATCAGCGTCTGTTGAAACATCACTGAACTGTGAGTCATTTAGTGCTTGTGTGAATGTCACATTAGCTTTCGAGGGGCATAATTTACTGTTAATTAATGGTCACTTAAATCCTTAATCTCTCTCCTATAATAGATCTTTCTCCTCAGGCAAATTTGCATTCATAGTAGAAATGTAATTTATTATTTCTTCCCATTTTAGACAAAGAACTCTTTCCTCTTACAGTTTATTTAAACCCACTTCCTTTTGCTTCTTATTTTTCTCTTACATTATCTGTTTCTCTTTTGTTCCTAGTTCTAGCTTCCAGAACTTTTTCTTTTTACCCAAAGACTTTAACAGGTTCTAGGAAATAGATGTTTATCCAGAGGGAATCTATCGATTGTTTCCTAGAAAAGATAACAAAGGCAAATTTGACTCTTTATGAGTAGAATGTGTAGGTGGAACACATATTCACTTCTCAGAATTATATTTTATCTCTGTCTCAGGTATTGAAACATGTATTGAAACATACAATTTCAGTATTTCTCCAACTGGGACTTGAATCGGGAGCTTCCAAGCAAGGTAAAAGTGAAGTTGCCCAAAGCAAAGTTCATAGGGAAAGCACCAGACCAGCTTTGCTTTGTGCTCCTGACTTCTCTCCCCTGGGGTTTGCCAGCGAGAAATAATCTCAGGGAGAGAGATTCGCAGTACATTTTTTTGACAATCACAGTACACACACACACACACACACACACACACACCACTAAAAATGATGTCTGATGCAAGCCACCCACTTTAGTCCTGCATGCCTGAATAGCTGATGCCACTTTAGGCATCTTCTTGGGTGAATAGTTAAGGAGTTAATATGCTCATTAGGTTCCCAGTTCTGATGGTAATGAAACTGAATATTCCACTGCCCACAATGAGTCTGGAATTGCACCTCCAGCATTGTTGTTAGCATTTTGGTCACAATGACATTGATAAATCATAGAAATTGCTGCCTGTGGCGGCAAGTGACATGACATTATTCATAAAGAAATGAGTATAAACAGGATTGTCGCACAGGGAGAAGATATCTCATTTACAGTTTTCTGCTGGATCCCACATACTTTCAGCAGCTCATCAAAATAACCATCAAAACCACTGAGAGCCCAGGCGAATTCACGCACAGGACACTACAGATAGATTTCGCTCACGCACTGTGACAGGAGGTGTGCAATTTGCTTCAGTCCAATGACTTAGAGAAGCTTTGAATTCCCCAAGGGCTGGCAAAGCTTGTGAACAAAATATCTTTTTGCAATTCAGAGAAAACCCTCACAAATTTGTCACTTCCAATTGTTGATGATCATTTCTCTTGCTTCTTTTTTCCTGGCCTCCCCTCCCTCAACACCAATCACTGCTCCTCTACAAATCAAGATTCTTGGGTCATAGGAAATGGTTGTTTCCTGGAACCAGAGAGAATTTTCCCAAAATGAAGATTTCATTTTCTGACAAGTGCATATTCTCACTGAGTGAGAAAAGAGATGTGTGTGTGTGTGTGTGTGTGTGTGTGTGTGTGTGTGTGTGTGTGTGTGGAGAAAAGTAAGAATTGGAATCTCATTAATCTCATTACTTAGAAATCCACACAGATCTTTGGGTTCATTGGTTTGTCCACGTTTCTGCCTGTGTTTTCTATTTAACTGTTGAATTATAAATGGAAAATCAAAAGAAAAATCCAAGGGGAAAGTTGAGTTTTGGCTAAGTATATAGAAAGGTTTCTGCCATGTACCAGGAGGAAATGATACAGAAATAAAGAAAGGATTCTATCTCCCAGATGCATGGTCGCTGTAAAAATGGAATTGTGGGTACAATTTGCATCCTTGGAAATTGGGTTGATTTATTTATCTTTGCAATGAGGTTTCTCTATTGGACGCTTAGGCCACCAGCTTATATCAGTTATTTAAAACTGTCTGCCCAAAAGCCTACCAGCTGGTTGTAAACTTAAGTGGATTGGGGTGAGCCGAAACTGTATTCTGCTGGGAGCCATCAAGTCTGGAACTGTCTGAAATCTAAAGATGCTAAGTTCCTCTTATTTTCATCTTCACAATGATAGTTTTCTTTTCCAGGAATCCTAGCCATAGATACATCTCATCCCAGGAATTCTGTTCTGTATCATCTCACCGAACAATTATTACAGAAATATCACAAGGAAGTGAGACCAGTTCAAGACTGGATGGAGGCTACGACTGTATACCTGGACGTAGTTGTTCATGCTGTATTGGATGTGGTGAGAACCAACTTTCCCTTTCCTATTCCTGCTACCCTTTTGTAAAACTACCTGCCATTTATGCAGGAGCCTAGGAGAACTTTTATCTTGAGGCTCTAGTAAAGCTGGTAGGGAAGCTGTGCTAGGCTCATTTAGCAGTAATCATGAGGTAAACTATTTATTAGGCAAATCATGCTTTCTAGCCCTCAACTTCCATTGTGAGGGACAGATAGTTTAGAGATATGAATTTCACAGAATTAAGATGCTTTAAGAATTCTAGTCATAGATCACAGTACATATTTTATAAGGATTGCTGAAACCCAAAAATGGTGATATGTTTTTTTTTTTATAGAGTTCACATTTCTTAGTACATTTAAGAAAATATCCACCACTTACTGCCTGAAAATTTTAAAAGAGAAAAAAGTGCCTGGGTATCTCAAGTTTATAAGGGACTTGATAGCTAAGGTTTTCGCTAAGGATGGTGGGGGAAGATTTGTTTACTAAAGCATGTCTTTCCTACTATATCTGAAAAATGAGTTGTTGTGGAAATTAAATGAGAAAATTTGTGTGAAGCAGTTAGCAGCGGTCTTAGTAAGCCCTCTTATTTATTGATGACTATCCCTGTTTCCCCTTTCACCTTTTTCTTAATTACAGTCTTTAATACCAATAGGTCCCAGATTTATTTTGATTTCTCTTTTTTTAAATTTACTTTTTGATACAATTGACATACAATATTATATTAGTTTCAGGTATACAACATAGTGATTAGATATAATATACCTTAGGAAGTGATCCCCCAGATAAATCTAGTACCCTTTTGATACCATACATTGATCTCTCTTATAAGCAGACTTTATTGAGTTTGTTTTGTTGAAATAGTTCAATAATTGTTTTCAATTTATTTCTTAAAACTATTTTTTATAATTAAGGTATAACATACATGTGTTGAAATGCATAGATCTTAAATGTATAATCCAATGAATTTTGATAACTTCGTGCACCCATATAATCCATACCTATCAATATAGCATACATTTTTATCACCCCAGCAAGATCCCTCATTTCCTTTCCAGTCAACCCCATCCCCTCCATCCATGGAGACAACTACTGTTCTGATTTCTTTCATCACAGATTATTTTTGTCATTCCTTGAAAACTGTATGAAAGAAATTTTATTGTATGTCCTCTGTTGTGTCTGGATTTTTCATTCTGTGTAAGGTTTTTGAAGTTCACTCATGTTGTTGTGTATGTCAGTTTGTTTGTTTTTACTGATAAGTAGTATTTGGTTATGGCTATACTGTTACTTCTTTATCCATTCTCCTGTTGATAAGTATTTGAGTTGTTTCCTGCTTTAGGATATTAATAATAAAACTATGAACATTCCTGTACAAGTCTTTTTGTATATTTATGTTTTCATTCCTCTTAGGTAAAACCTAGAAGTGGAATAACTGACTCTAGGATAGGTGTACACTTAATGAGAAACTGCCAGACAGATTTACAAAGTGGTTGTAGTTTTACACTTTCACCAGTCAGCTATGAGAGTTCTCATTGCTCCACATTTTCATCAACATTTGATAGTATTCGACTTAAATTTTAGCCATTCTGGTAAGTGTATATTGGTATTTCATTGTGATTTTAATTTACATTTCCCCGATGGCTAATGATTCAGGGCTCTTTTTCATATGACTCTTGGTTACTTACATATCTTTTTTTTGTGAAGTAGCTGTTTAAGTTTTTTCCTTTTTAAAAAAAAATTGGCTATTGAATTTTAGTGATATTGCCTTTTTTCATTTCTTATATCCACATTTTGTTTTTTCTCTTATTTTCCCTTTACGAATATTGCCAGGTTTTATCAATTTTATTTATTTTTTCAAAGAATCATAGATTGGTTTTGAATTTTCTCAGTTGTTTGTTTCACTAATATCTGTGTTTATCTTTATTAATTATTTTCTTCTTAGTTTGCATTTAATTTTTTCTACTTTAGTTTTTTAAAGTAGAAACGTAAATCATTGGTTTTAATTCTTTTTCTTTTCTAATTTTAGCATTTAATGCTGTAAATTTCCCTCTAAGTATTGTTTTAGCTTTCTCCTACAAAATTTTAAAGCATTTTTAAATTGAGATATAGATTACATAAAATGAAACTCATCTTTTTAAAGCCAATCTCTTGCCTCTATCCTCAGTCCCTGGAAACCACTGATCTTATTTTTTTCATTACAGTTTTGCCTTTCCAGAATGCCATAATAATGAAATCAAATAGTATTTTCTGTTCGTTTTTGCTTCTTTTACTTAGCATAATGCCTCTGAGATTCATCCATGTTGTGTTGTCACATATATCAGTGGTAATATTCCACTGTACAGATGTACGGCAATTTGTTTATCTATTTAATATTTGTTGGATGTGTGGGCTGTTTCCAATTTGTATCAATTATGAATAAAGCTGCTATAAACACTTGCATGTTTTCACTTCTCTTGGATAATCAGGTGTGAGATTTCTGAGCTGTAGAATAAGTCTATGTTTAACTTTATAAATGACTGCCAAACTGTTTTTCAAAGTGGCTGTATCATTTTGCAGTCTACCTGCAATGTATAAGAGTTTCGGTTCCTCCCCATGATCACCAGCACTTGATACTGTCAATCTTTTAAGATTTTAATCATTCTAGTAGATTTGTGATGGTAACTCACTGTGGTTTTTAACTTTGATTTTACTACAGACTAATGATGTTGAACATGTTTTTATGAGCTAGTTTGCCAACTGTACATATTTTTTGGTAAAGTATTTGCTCAAATCTTACCCATTTTAAAAATAGGACTGTTTATTATATTATTATTGAGTTGCAAGAGTTCTCTATATACCTTTGGGTCTATTCCTGGACCCTATTCTGCCCACCTAATAGTTATGTTTCATTTTACAACAATACACTATCTCAATTATTGTGTATGATAGATGTCTTGAAATCAGATAGTGTCTTCCAATCTTGTTCTTCTGTTTCAAAATTGTTTTGACTCTTCTAGGTCTTTTGCATTTCCACATAAACTTTAGAATCGATTCATCAATTTTTAGTAAAAAAAAAAAAACTGCTAGAATTTTTATTGGGATTGCATTAAATCTATAGACCTATTTGAGGAGAACTGATATCTTCATAGTCTTCCAATCCATGTACAGTGTATCTCTCCATCTGTTCAGTTCTTTAACTTCTAATAATAGTTTGTAGTTTTCAGTGTTTTATATATATTTGGTTGTTTATCCATAAGTAGTTCACATTTTTGATGCTATTAGTGCTATTCTAAATTGAATCTATTTGTTGCTAGCGTACAAAAATATAATTGATTTGTATATATTGGTCTTGATTCCTGTAATCCTGTCATCTCTTATTAGTTTCAGAGGCTTTTTTGTAGATTCTTTGAGATTTTCTGAGATCATGTTGCCTGTGAATAAAGATGGTTTTACTTCTTTATTTCCACTCTTTATACCTTTATTTCCTTTTATTGCCCGTTGCACTGGCTTGAACCTCCAGTACAGTGTTGAATAGAAGGGTGTACTATTCTATAAATATAAATTCAATAAATGTGTCTGACAGTATTGTTAAAATCTCTAATTTTTTGATTTTTTGTTATTCTGTTAATTTTATAATGAGCATTTAAATCCACAACTGTAATTGTGGTTTGTCTCTGTTATTAAATGCATGCACATATAGGATTTCATGTATTCTTGATAAACAGATCTTTTTTATCATTATGAAATGCTCCTCTTCATCTTCAGTAGTATTCTTTTCCTTGAAGTTTTTCTTATGCTTACTTTTTTCATGGTAGATATTTTGCCATTCTTTTATTTTCAATCTATCTGTGATATATTTGAAGTCATTTCTTGGAGATAGCAGGTAGTTGGGTCTTGCTTTTTTCCCAACTTTTTATTTTGAAATAATTATAAATTTACAGGAAGTTGCAAATAAATTTACAGGGAGTTTCTGCGTACCTTTTACCCAATGTTTCCCAATGTTAGCATCTTACATACATGTACTATATTATCAATACTATAAAAATGACATTGGTACAATCCACAGAGCTTATTCGGGTTTTTCCATTTTTACATGTATTCAAATTTGTGTGTGTGCTTCTGTGTAATTTTATCATCTGATATAGTATACCTTAGGAAGTGTAACCACCCCTGCCACTGCCACTACATCAATCTATGCAGTCATCACCACAGGGCTTCCTAGAACTGCTCCTTCACAGCCACAACCCTTTCTCCCCTCAACCTCTAACCACTGACCACTGGTCAATCTCTTCTCCATCTTTATAAGTGTATTTTTTCAAGAATATTACATAAATGGAATCCTACAATATGTAGCCTTCAAGATTGCCTTTTTGTTCAATTACAGTTGGCATTCAATATATATTAGTTTCAGGTGTACAGCATAGTGATTAGACATTTATATAATTTACGAAGTGGTCCCTCCCAATTAGTCTATTACTCACCTGGTACCATGCATGGTTATTACAATATTATTGACTATATTTCTTATGCTGTACTTTAGACCCCCATGACCATCTCGTAACTACCAATTTGTACTTTTTAATCCCTTCACCTTTTTCACCCAGCCCCCTAACCTCCCTCCCATCTGGCAACCATCAATATGTTCTCTGTATCTATGGGTCTGTTTCTATTTAGTTTGTTCGTTCATTTTGTTCTTTAGATTCCACACATAAATGAGATCATATGGTATTTGTCTTTCTCTGACTGACTTATTTCACTTAGTATAATATCCTCTAGGTCCATTCATGTTGTCACAAGTGGTAAGATTTCATTCTTTTTTTTTAATGGAGATTGGCTTTTTTTCATTCATTATAATTCCCTTCAGCTTCATTCAAGTTGTCGGGAATACCAATAGTTCATTCTTTCTTGTTGCTGAGCAGTATTCCAAGGTATTGCTTTTTTAACTTGTGAATCTATGCATTTTAACTGAAGTGTTTCATCCACTTACTAATACTATCTTGCTACTTGTTTCCTAGTTGCCCATCTGT